ACTCAGAGGCTGAGGCTAGAAGTTTACTTGAACCCAGAGGCTTAGTGCCAGAGACTGGGTGACATGGGAAGGCCCTGTCTCTGGAAAATGGGGGAGATACATGCAGGGTGGGGCGATCATCTCTACGGCACAAGTAGGAAGCTCTGAGCGGAGAACCCAAGGCTGGCCTACCTCTCCACTGCACCCGCCTCCCTCTAGTGGCCCTGCTCCGGATGCTCTGGACTGTGTGGGGAGGGAGGAGGAGGCCTTCCTGGGTGCAGGGAGGTATGCTGGGACCTGGAAGAATCACTAGCTAAACTTAGGGCTTGGCCCTGAGCCCTCTGTGGCTCAAGAAGCACTTAATGAGGCTCCAGGGCCTGGGGATCGTGAGTCATGAATTCCTGGGGGCCTTGACTTCCCCTCCTGTATCACAGCCAGTGGACCTGGTGTGGGGGAGCCCCAGCCGGCCTTCCCACCACAAGCTCACCCCTCTGCTGCCAGGAGGACACTGAGTGGGAGAAACTAAACAATTCCACCTTCCTACCCCATAGCCACCATGCCCAAATTCAAAGAAGCCACCAAGACTCTTGGAACCTGTCAGAAGATTTAGAAAGCAGCCTGAGGAGGTTCCCATTGACCACAAACGGGCCACCAGAGCATCAATAAGGATAGCAGCTGCAGCGGAGTACAACAAATCTGTTTAAGTTATCAGAACACATGACACAAAACAAATAATGAGTCATCTTGGAGGAGAGTAGGGAATTAACTCATTTTCTTGAAACTAAAAAAATCAGATCAAGCGTTGATCCAGCCTTTGCTCACACTGTGCCAGAGGTGAATCAAATAGAAGATGAAGGGAAATCTCCAATTGGGAAAGAATTCCAGCTAAGAAATGAGGAGTAAGTGACAATACTGGATCACCTCCTTCTATAACCATAGGAGAGTTAGTGGATTAGGCAATGATCAACACCAGCTCCTCACACCATAAAAGAGATAAACAGACATTTCATGCCCCCCCCCCCACCGCCCAGGGAAGGACACGGCATCTCCTGCAGATCAGTCACGCCACAAAACATTTGCACCTCAATTTCCTCCATCTTCTAGAGCTAAGTCCTAAGTACAGGAATGCAGGGGACAGGGCACATGTTAAACAACACCAGGAAGACAGTCACCAATACCCGACTGGGAATCCCACAGGCCAGATGACCTTTGTTTCTTCAATAAATAAATCACAGGGAAAGGTAAAAAGATGAAAGAGAAACAACCAATTGCCAATATGGACTTTGGTTTTGATCTCATTCAAATAAAGTGTAAGATGTCTACGTGTTTGCAGCCTGAACTGGGAGCTACAATACTTTGGGGGCATTTGGTGATATACATTGAGCATCCCTACTCCTAGAGCTTGGATCTAGAATGTCCCCCAAAGGCTTATGTGTTAAATGCTTGTATCCCAGTGTGGCCCTATCAGGAGGTGGTAGAAACTCCCAGAGGTGACACTATGTGGGAAGTTTTAGGTCACAGAGGGATGTGCCCTTGGGATGGTGGGACCTGGGTCTCCTGTGTGGCTTTCAGATCCCAGCCATGAGGCCGACTGTCTTGCTACATCACACATTCCTACCATGATCTGCTGCCTCCCCACTAAAGGTCTTCAGGCAATGGATCTGCTCAATCATGAGTGAACTGCAACCTCTAAAACCATGAGCCAAAATTAACCTTTTCCTCATTATAAATTGATTCCTCTTGGGTATTTGTTAAAGTAACAGAAAACTAACACAACTGAAACTTTCTGAGCTCTGACATGATGTTTGGGATTTGGAAGCATTTTGGATCTGGGATTTTTCAGAAAAGAGATGCTTCCCTGATAAAGGATATGCAAATATTCCATAATCAGAAGAACTCTGAAATCCGAAACAGTTTTGGTCCCGAGTGTCTTGTATAAGGGATACTCCACCTACATTAAGGAGTTACTTTAAAATGTTTCCGTTGTATATGGGTATTGTGGTTATTATTTTTGAAATGAGTGCTTCTTTTCAAGAGCTGTATCCAGAAACATTCACAGAAGAAATGATCTGCTGCCTGGGGGCAGGGGGCATAGAAGCAGTAAGATTGGCATGAGCTGCTGGCTGCTGGAGCTCTGTGCTCTTGTGGTCTCTGGGCTTGACATTCTCTGTCATCAGGGACACCACAGCCTGGCCTGGCAACAGGAGCCCTGTGAGTGGGCTCAACTGATCCTCTCAACTCTGTCCCTCAACATGCCCTCCTGTGGGCTTCTCAGAAATCTTCCACAACCACCAAACACCACGATGCCTCCTGCCATCTCCCCCCTGTGTGCGTGTGTGTGTGTGTGTGCGTGTGCGTGTGTGTATGTGTGTGTGTGTGATCTGCCTGCACTCCCTTCCCTTGGCCCTCAGGTGCTAGCCCCCACTCCTGCTCCCCAGCACAGCTCCCTTTCCCCACCCATTGGGAGAAGTTCCTCAGACCCCCGACGCACCCGGCACAGGGCCTGGCCCAGCTCCAAAGCTGGTTGGAGTCTTTCTGGAAGGAAAATCCCCAGCTCTGATCACTGGTGAGGCCCTTGACCAGTTGGTGATCCTGTACACACAACCTCATCTCAGAGACTTAAGTTTGGACTGGGCCACATCTCAGAGCCTCAGTTTCCTCATCTACTTATCTTACCCCCAGGACCATCACCAGAACTCAAATAGAAGGCCTTGGAGGTGCACCACATACTGCGGAGGGCTGTGCACACCTGGATGGGGCTGTTGGCTGTGGAGTACCTCCGTGGGCACTCAAGGCTGCAAATCTCAGGGCAGAGGGGAGCTGCAGCCACCGGGTGGCCTCCTTCCCAAGAGGAGAAAGGGAAACTAAGCACCACTGGCTGTGGGGTAACTTGGGCTGTCCTGGCTGGTGGCAGGGACTGGGTGGGGTCTGGAGCCTCCCTCACCTGCCTGGGGGCGTGGCCCCTTGCAGCACACACCCCAAATCTCAGGGCTGTGATGGGCACCACAGCGCCCCCTGGTGCCCCAGCTCCTGGGCTTTGTCCTGGGAACCTCCCACCAGGTTCAAGCAGCCTCAGGTCATGGGACAGAGAACAGGAGGAGCCCGGGGAGGGCAGTACTGCTCAGGAGCTGTGTGTGTGTGACTGTATGCGCAGCTGTAGGGGCGTGGGAGAAAGCTTTCCAGTTGTCTACCTGGGACCCCAAGGCCCAGCTCACAGCGTTTCTGAGCCACACAGTGGCTGTGGCAAGAAGAGCTGCTGCTCCCTGTGTCACCCAAGTTGGGTAAAATGAGCCACAGGCCTTTTTGAATCCTCAGACCTAGCAGGTTCCTGGTGCTGGGCATCTGAGATTCCTCAGTTCCCAGCTGCTGGATTCAAGAATCTGAAATTCCTTAAGTTTCAGATACTCTAACTGGAGGAGCCAGGAAGGCTGCGTGCCATCCCTGTCTCCTTGGGAGGGCAGAGTCCTGTTGCCCAGAGATCAGGACAGCTGGAACCAAGACCTGCTCATCCCAGGCCTGCCTCTCTGCTACCTGCTGGATGGCCTCAGGCAGTTTTTCCCCCTCTCTGAATCTGGAGCTTCTGTTCAGCAGTCAGGTTCTCCTAACCCTCCTCAGAATAATTTGAAGTGAGGCCGCGCTTCTACAGTCACTGGGACAGAAAAAGGCAAACCCAGAGAGGGTGGCCAGGTGCCAATTCTGTCGCGCTTGACTGACACTTAACCTTGTCATCAGACTGAGTCACCAGAGGAGGAAGCCACTCAGAGAGGCTGCCCAGGGTTACCCAATGGGACAGTGCATAGCCAGGCAGGGGCCCTCACCACTTACCATGCTGCCTCTCTGGGAAGAGGCTCAGGAAGTGTCAGGTCTCCCCACCCTACGGTTTCTTGTGATTTCCATGGAGAGTGGGTCATTTCCCCCTGCCTGAGAACAGAGCCAGGTGCTACCTCTTCCCACGGAGGGAGGGCTACATTTTTGACTCTCAGAGGTGTTTCCAGCAGTGGCCAGGAGGCAGGCTTGGGAGGGCAGAGACTCCTGGAATATGGGGGAGGGGGATTCTTCGAATGCTGTCAGGGGGATGTGTGGAGGCAGGGAATGGGGAGGCCCTGAGTTGGAGGAGAAAAGGAGCTATAAGACCAGCTTGGGGAGCATTTTGAAGCAGGGTCATTCCCAAGCAAAACCACAATGCAGCCTCTGACCCCCATCTCAGGAAAGGGGCAGAGGGACACATTTTCCCAGTCCATTGCAGATAACAGTTTCAATGGGGTCAAAGGTCCACAGGGCCATGGCCTGGTGCTCCACCTTGTACTCCTGACCCTGGTCCAGCCCCTCCAATCCCTCTATGATCTGGACAGGAAGCCTCCTCCTCTGAGTCTCAGTTGTCTCTGTTCAAAATGAGCAAGAGGTAAGGACAGAGGAGGTAAGGACAGAGCTGTGAAGAAGGACCAACGGGACACCAAGGCGATGTGGCCCTGCAGCTGCACTGGTACCAATATCAGTCATATCTGGTCACTAGTCTAACAATCTCAAAAGAGTAGGGCAGAGAGGGAACTCACAGAAAAAGCCAGGCTGTTCCCTCTGGAAAGCCTGGGGCCAGGACAGGGTCAGGGACTGACAGAAGATCCAGGGCCGGTAACTCTGAGGCCATCCAGCAGGTAGCAGAGAGGACCAATCCTGTCCCACACCCTGGCCATCCAGTGCTCCATCCACCCCTGCCCAGCGCCCTGTGGGGAGGAAGACTGGAGACAGCATGGCCTCAGCATGGCTCCCTCCACCCCACACAGGCTGGCTAAGCTGCTGCAGGGGTGCCAGGAGGCCCAGTAAACCCAGGCCTGAGGGAGGCCTGGCCGGTCACCTGACTGCTCTGGGCTCATCCCTGACTGCTGGTGGGAGGGGGGGTAGACACTTTGGGAGAGGCTCATGGAGGGTTGCCCAGGGATGGGAGGGCACTGGACAGGACTGGGAGAGCGGTGGCAGAGCTCCTGAGGGGCAGCGGTGCTCACGGTGAGACGCACACCACCGAGGCAGGACATACGGCTTTTATTGGGCACGCACATCGGGCACAGTGGAGGCACTCAGGACCTCCCAGGAAGACAGGATGGGACAGAGTGGGGAAGAGCAGTCTGGGGGGTCCAGAGAGGAGAGGGCAAGCAAAGAGGCAGAAAGGGGGAACTGCCCTGGGGTCTGACCTCCTCCCATCCCACAGTTAGCAGAGAATAAGGCAGCAATGGCTATAGGCAAGGCCAGCACTTCTCCAAACATGTCCCAGAACAGACCCCAGAGCCACAGTTTCACAGGACCAGAGCTCACCACAGCCCAGAGCTCACCACAGCCCATCTCTCACTATAGAATCCTGACTCCGACACCACCTTCTACATCTCTGAGAGGGGGCCTGCCCCCACCAGCCCCACCACTGGGGATGGTTCTGACCCTCTAGGTCTCAGTACATCTCTTCTCAGGGCCAAGTGCCCTGATGGACCTTCAAAGGATGTCTCTGGCCAGGGCCAAACAAAGCCAGCCTTGCAACAAGGTGTTGGGGGCACTTGCAGAGGTGCCCGTGTCTGAATCCAGGCAGCAGGTCAGGCCCCTCCAAAATGGGGGCTTTGGGCCTGTGCAATGGGAAGCAGAATGAGGCTAGGGATGGAACTGAATCTGCCAGTAACTGCGCCTCAGTTTCCCCATCTGGTGAGTGGATGCCCCCCAGTGACCTCCAAGGCCAGTGTTCTCCATCACATTGCTGTCACCTGCAGCCCACTTGAGATTATCAGCCATTGTAACCACCCCCTTAGGCTTTACCCACCCCTCCCCTAGCTCCCCTAAAGCAGCCCAGGAAATGCCAAAGCTGCTCTAATCGAAGGAAATGCCTGCTTCTCTCTGTCCAGTGAGCTGGTGAGGCCTGCTTCCCCAAGGGGACATGCCATCTCTAGCTCCAGGACCCTGGATCCCTCTATCCAGCCTCCCCCAGGCAGAAGGAAACCCCTTACTAAACTGCTCCCACTTCACTGTATGAATCTCAAAAGACTCCCAGCTCAGGAAGCCCCCAACAGGGCTCAACCCAGGTCATGTCAGTCAACCCCTTGCCAAAAGTCACCCTTGAACCAGCAGCAATTTTTCAATGGATAACCTAAAATTAGACGTGTCCACAGGGCAGGAATAGACCCTAGTGTGCACTGTGTGAGCCCTGCATGCCGTCTTGATGGATGTGTGCATACAGGTAGACAGATCTGTGTGACTGTATGTAGCTCCCCTTCACTTCTCCACTACAGCCAGCACTGGGTGACAAACCCCAAGCCACCCCCACCACCCAAATCAGCCCTGCAGCAACCCTGCCCCATGTCCTGAGGGTCCTGAGGCATCCTGGGACCACACTGGGTCATTGCAGAAGCAGCACCTTCCCGAGTCCTCAGGCTGGGTGTTCACCTCCTGATAAGGGTGGCCGAGGGTGCCGCGTCCAGCGGAGAGCAGAAGCCTTCTTCCTGGATTCCCTGAGGAGGTTGCTCCTGTCATCTCCATCTCCCCGTCTCTGGAGGAAGCCAGATGGCTGGTTGTTTGAATCTCTGTCTCTCTTGGTCTTTGACTGTCTCACTCCCTCTCAATGAAGCAGAGAAGGCAGGTGCCTATAGCTTCTCCATCTGCCACATGGGCCCCTACCAGGTCTCTATCATCTACAGGGGGTGGCATCGGTGGTCAGGGAAGCTTCTAGACTACAGAGCCGTGGGATCTTTCTGGGAGCCAGAGCTCTGACACCAGGGAAAAGGAGAGGAGGAGGGGAGGACATGGACTCAGGGGGCCTCTGGCCACACAGAATCCAGGCTGAGCAGCTAGAAGAATGTCCCCCAAAACACAGGTGGGGAAGGGAGGTCCAGGCAGGAAGAGGGTGGGGGCAGATGGGGCAGAGGGCGGCCCCTTCAGAGCTGGCTGAACACCACGGAGGCCTTGAGGTCAGCAGGCTCCAGCCCTTCACCAAAGGTGATGAGGAAGTACATGACCTTGCGGATCTTGGCCAAATCCGACAGGCGCTCCCCGAACTCCAGGGCATCGGCCTCGTTACAATCCATGGCGTCCGAGTCCTCCTTGCGCCAGAAGATGGCAGCGGGGTCCAGCAGCTGGCGCGTCATGAGGTTGGTGAGGTCGGGCGTCCAGTTCTGCGAGGTGCCGGTGATGGTGACCTTGCCGGGCTTGTCCAGCGCCACGTTCCAGCGCTCGAACTGCAGCCTCTGCTGCTGGATGAAGTCGAGGCGGTACACGGACTCTGCCGGCCGCAGCAGCTTCTCGCCGTCCTGGCGCTTCTCCCCACGCTGCTTCAGGCTCTCCACGCGCAGCCGCATCTGCTTGGTCAGGTCCTTGTCCAGGACCAGCGGCATGTCCAGCTGCTGTTTCTGCGGCCCGTCCTCCGCCATGGCCCAAGTGCTGCTGCTGCTGCTGCTCCTGCTGCTCCCGCCAATGTCAAAGAGCCAAATGGGCTGGGGCCTCAGTGCAGAGAGAAGAGGCCACCTAGAGGCTCCGCCTCCCCTTATGCCCTCCCTCCTCTCCTCTCCTCCGCTCAGGTCACTGGCCCTTTCTGACCCCACCCAGTTCCAAAATAGGGTGTGGTGAGAAGTGGGAGTCCACCTGCCTCCTCTCCACTCCTGGACGTGATAATACAGGTGCTTCAGGCAGGCAGGCAGGCAGGCAGGATGGTGCTGGGATCCCCGGGGACAAGGACGCTGATGTCAACTGCTGTGGAAACCACCTTGACTACACGGATGGGCTGGGAGCTGCTTGTTTGTGAATAAGGGAGTTCTCTGCACGGCAATGCGGGGAGGAGGGAGCACTGGCTGGAGGCTCGGAGGAGAGGCTGGAAGACCCCTATGGGGGGCAAGAATAGGACCAGACAGGTGTACCCAATGGAGACCTGGAGTCACTCAAGCCAACATCCCAGCTCCCCTCCCCTTCATTCACCCACATCCAACCACCAAGGCTGGTACATTCTATTTCCTAAATGTCAGGGAGTCTTCCTCTACATTCCCGCTGCCAGGACCCCCACCCTGCCACCATCATGTCCCACCCAGATGCCTGGTTCTCAAATTCCAGTGTGCATCAGAATCACTTGTAGGACTTGGAAACAGACTGTCAGCCTCCACTCCCAGAAATTTTGATTTAATCCATGTTGGATGTGGATTTGCATTCCCAACCACCTCCCAGGCTGCTGGCCCAGGAACCAAGCTTTGAGAATCACTGACCAGCTGATTCTGACCTGGCCCTTCCTCCACCCTGTGCCATGGCAACCACATGACCACAGTTCTCTTCTACCAAGTCCTATCACGTATTCCCCGTTACCCCAGGAGACTTGAGGGCAAGGAAGAATCGCAAACATCTATATCTCTAGCATCCAACAGGAAGCAGAAGCTCTGTTATCAAAAGTGGGCAAGGGGGCTAAAGTGGTGGCTCAGTGGTAGAAAGCTGCCTCGCATGTGTGATCCTCAGTACCGGATAAAATAAATAAGATAAAATATTGTGTCCATCTACAACTAAAAAAAAAAAAAAAAAAGGCAGGATGCGGCTTAGTGGTGGAGGAAGGCCTTGGGTTTGAGTTTAGAATACACACCCACACACACACCCACACACAAACAGGACACATGAAAGAACTGGGGTATGTGAGCATAGTTGAGGTGGGGATGGGGCAGAGGGGTGGGCTACCACCATGATATGCAAAGGAAAGAGGAAAGAGGAACAACAGAAAAAAATCTGAAAGATCTCGTGGACCACAAGCAGAGTCAGTTGCTGGATGAAAGCCACGTTAATCAGTGATATCTTGAGCTACATGAATGGCATGGGGGTACCAAAGCAGACGGTACCTGGTTCTGTAGAGTGGGAGTTCAGTGCCTGATCAGAACCTTTGACCTTATAGCTGGAGGGGCGAGGGGGGGAACAACTTGGCTGATGAACTGACACGAGGCAGCTTCTCCTTCCTCCTTGGGAAGGAACAGTTTCTACCCTTCCTGGTCTACATTTTGCTTTTCACTTGTATGTTGGCTTCGTTTCTGCCTGTGGTGTCCCCTGCTAGACCACCAACCCTGAGAGGGCAGGGACCGGGCCCATCTTGCTCAGGACCCTAGGCCAGCACCCAGAACAAGGGAAGCACAGAGGAGGCCCACAGAAATGCTTGTTGAATGAGTAAGTGACACTGATAAGAGAATAGCTGCTGGAGGGACCCTGGGGCCAAGGACAAGAGGATGCAGGCAGGTGGGAGAGCTCAGAGCACTGGCTGAGGCCCGAATGAGGTCAGGTCAGCAATGTGCTGGAGCAGGAAGCTGAGGCCAGAGAGACCCAGCCTTGACTGCAGACCACCTAGAGCTGTCCCAGGCTGTGGTTGTGGAGTGACGGAGGTGGCTGAAGGTGAAGGCTATTGGAGATGGAACCCAGAACTAAGACCAGGGCAGTGGGGAGTAAGGGGCAGAGTGGGGACACGAGCCACAGGGGCACAGTGATCCCCAGAACACAGCAGTTCTTGGGGTATAAAAGGCTAGGATCCTGGAGGTGCCACACCCTTTGAACCCAGGTGACAGTGCAGACAGCTGGATGAGGATCCTGGAGCACAGGAGAGCGCCTCATCTCTGGCTGGGTGGAGATGTGTAACCAGGAGGAGGCTGAGGCTGGGCCTCACAGACCGGGCAGGAGGGAGGGGGCAATGGGGGCCACAGGAGGGGCGGACAGTGCAGGGAGGAGGGGAGGAGGAAACAGAGGGTGCAGAGGCTCCGGAGGAGTGGCAGGAAGGAGCAGGAGGCTGCAGGCGGTTCTGGATGCGCTGATATCCTTGACTCAGCTGCCAGACATTGGGGAGGACCCACCCACGGCTGGACGCAGGAACAAATTCAGGGGAGAAACGCAGGCTCCAAACTTGCACAATTAAAATAAAACTTCTTAACCGAAATGGAAGAAACAACAACATCAACAACTGAAAATCCTTAACACTGGAGGCTACTGGGTAACGAAAGTCACTTGACTTTGTGGTTTGGGAACTTTTTCCACACCTTCTGTTCCAGGACCTTCTGTGGCACTTGGGGTGCAGTTGGTGCCCGTGAATGTGCACTGAGCAAACTGCTGAATAACTGAGAACAGGAACTGCTGATATTAAAGGGCCAGGATGAAGCGGGAAACACAAAATGGAACCAAGACTGTCTGCACCGGCCTCCTCTGCCTTTCCCAAACCTGCCCCAGTACTGCAACTCCCAACTTCCATGCTTTCTTGCAGTCAGGGGACTGGCTGGCTCCTCCAGGGCCTAGGCCAGCCCACGGCCAGGGACACGATGGCTCAGGCAGCAGGCCTGGCCTCTGCTCTGGCTGCACCAGGCTCCCAGGGAGGGGAGCTCACAGATGACCTTGGGTCTAGCCTAGGCATGGTCTCCTGGCAAGTGCTGTCAACTGCCACTTCCTGATTTCAGATTCACAAAACCTGGCCACCTGAAGTCCACCGCCTCCCTGCTTGCAGGGAACACGCAGTGAGATGCGGAGGCCAGGATGCCCCACCAGGGAGCCTATAGGAAGGGGAGCCCACTGTTCAGGGGTGTGTGGAAGAGGCGAGGGCGGGAGCTAACTGTGCAGAGTGCTGGGAGCCAAGGGCTGGTCCTCCTCCCATGATGGCGAATCCTGAGCCTGTTGGTCCCAGGCTACTTTAAGAACTAAGAGTGAAGGGTGACTTCCTGGAGGAGGGCGCGTGTCAGGTACCATGCTCCTGCTTCTGAGGCCCAGCCTCTTGGAGTGTGCAGTTGGATGGGGGGGGCAGAGGTGCAACTTAGGCTAAACGCCACCCCTGTCCCCTCCACTGCCCTTCCAGGGAGAAAACAGGGTGAGGCAGGGAGGCCCTGCAGGGCAACAGGCCCAGAAAATGAGGGGTGACAACAAACAGGGCCCCGTCAGGGAGCGTGAGGCACAGTAATGAGCTCCCTGGAGCCTCATCCCAGGACCCAGGGGCTATCGCCACAGCAGTACCTGGAGGCAGAGTGCAATTAGCTCAGGCTGGGGACCTGAGCTATGGGAGACCAGCTTCCTGGCTCTGCAGCCTGGAAGACCACCCAGGCCGGTGTCCCAACCCCTCAAAGGAGGAAACTTCAGTCTAGAGATAAGAGCAGGCCTGCCCAAGGCGGCACAGCATCAAGACCAGGCCTCCTCCTGTGAGTCTCAGCCTCTTCCCCCAGTAGTAAAGATGGGGAGCTGCCACAGGGACCAAGGGCCAGGCCTGGGGCAGGGCACACAGCGCTGAGCTCCTCCCATCTTGTTCGGCACCAGCCCACTCCTAGACCTGGAGGTACTGTCAGAAAGGCTGGCGGTGGAGCTGCCTGTCAAAAGCTGGGTGGAACAATTCGGGGTGGACTTCCATTCCCAAAACTCTCCAGAGGCTCCTCTATGCTGGCCCCTGTGAGGCTCCAAGGGAAGATATAAGTTGGACCGGCTCTGTCTGTGGGGAGCTCACCTCAAGGGGGGAGACAGCAGATAAACAGGCAATTATAGGGCGGGTGGGAGTGGGGGGCAGCCCCGTAGGATTCCCTTGTGCCACCTCCAGCCCCACATGAATCCTCGCCTGGGGGTGCTGGGGCTCAGAGGCAGGGGGCCTGGTTCTGGACTCAAAGAAGCGGGCTGGAGGCTGCAGAGAGGAGACCAGACTTCCACCTAGAGAATCGGGCCAGGCCCCACAGCTTTCTCCCAGCCTGGATGCCCCTGAATACCCAAATCTATAAGCTGTGGCCGTGGCCTTTGCTGAGGCCCTGCGAGCCCTAAAGCCAGCTGCCCTGACCACTGCAGGAGCCTCAGAGGCCAGGCCTCAGGGATGCCCACTGGGTGGCTGTGAGAGGCCACACCTTGTTCAGAAGACCTGAGAAAAGGGGCCTGAGTCCCAGCCTCGGCCAAGGGCATAGCTCCCTCTGATGGCTGATGGATGCCTCAGAGGATGAAGAAAAACACACTGTGTTCCTTGCACCCTGCTTGCATAGGAACACCCAACGATCCGATCCAGGAATGTTCCTAACGCTGCGTCCACTGAGCGTCACGTCGCACCAAGCACGGTAAGGACAGCATGTCAGTCCACCTTCTGGCAAGGCCACTACTCTGATTCTGCAGGGGAATAACCTGAGGTCAGCTACAAAGCTTCCGACTGGTTAAGGCTGGGCCTGAGCGACTCAATGCCCCAGGCTCTGACAGCCCACCACCCACTCCTTCCTAGGAAGAGCAGGCAGAGCAGAGAAGGGAAAGAGACAACCACTGGAACTTAATCCTGTGCTCAGCCCAGGTCTCCTCTACAATCCCTGCCTTAATTTACCAAGTTCGGCCTCCACTCCAGCCTCCCTGTTTTCCCCAAAAGGAAGCATTGGATTTGAGGGTCCCAATGCTAAGTGCTGCCATAAAAGAACCAGATGGCAAGACCAGAGTCCATTTGTTCCAACCCCAAACCTTTGGATGGCATGATGATGAACAAGCTGTAGAAGGTGATCAGGATGCTGGACCTGGGCCACCACCTCCCCCCCCACCCTTGTGGCCCTCCCGGACTGGACAAGAACATCAGCAGTGTAGAACCAGTCAAGAAGCTGGAGATTGTCCAGACCACTCATGCTGAACAACTGGGAACAGCAAGGCCCAGAGAAGGATAGCAACAGCCCAAGTCACAAAGCAGGTTACTGGCAGAGTTGCCCTGAGCCCCGTCACAGCTGACTCCACACTGAAAATCATGCAGGAAGGTTCCATATGTCACAGGTATATATTCGGCTCCAGAGACACTAGGCACCCAACAGTGTGGAGGGGACACATCAGGATCCCCCTAAAGTTACACAGATGCTACCAGCACCTGCCTCTGGATCTTCAGCTGATGGTGGAGGGAAGGCAAATCTGATGCCTGACCAGTGCTGAGGGGCCAAGGCCGCCCACCTGGCCCTGGAGCAGGCTTTCAGGAAGTCTCCAGCCACATCAGGGCTACACCTGCCTGGCAGTGAGGGCCACAGGCTGCCTCAATGCCCCAGCAGCCCCGTCCCCAGGCCTCACCTTCTGCCACAGCGATTCACGGGAGGCGAGTGAAGAGCAGGCTGCCACAAACCAGCAGTTGCCCACCTGTCCCTGGTGCAGATCGTGGGAGCTGATGCCATCCACAAAGAGGCGGGGGTCCTCGCAGATGTCCTACAGAGAGGGCAGGGAGAGCGTGAGGGCCCCAGGAACACAGGATGCCCACCTGCTGCCAGCACAGAGGTTCCCCGTCCCCACACACTGGGGGCCTAACCTGGCAGACCACTCCCCAGACCCAGCCTTCCCCAGTTCCTGGTTGGATGCCTTCTTCCTTCTCTGACCCAGAGTGCGCTTCTGCCAATGGCATGATGATGAACAAGCTGTAGAAGGTGGTCAGGAGGCTGGACCCGGGCCACCACCTTCTTCCCATCCATGTGGCCCTCCCTGACCAGCCAGCCCTCATGGTGCCCTGGGGTGGGAAGGGGGAGGTGAGACAACACCAAAATGACAGCGATGAGCAGAGGGCGTGGCCTA